AGGATTCTCTAGAGAAACAAAACCGATAGAATAAATCGTATACATACATATATATGATTTATTATTATTTGTCATACTTATATTATTTATCATATTATTGTTTATATTATTTGTCATACATATATATTTTTATTATATTATTATTTATTATATTATTTGCCATACGTATATATGATTTATTAGAGTGGCTTACAGGCTGTGGTCCAGCTAGCCCAACAATGGCTGTCTCCAGTGTAAAGTCCAAGAATCCAGTAGTTGTTCAGTCCACGAGGCTGGATGTCTCCGCTGGTCTTCAGTCTACATAGGTCCTAATACCAATGAAGCAAAATCAAGAGCAAGCAGGCAGAGAGCAAAAGCTTCCTTCTTCCATGTCCTTATATAGGCTGCCACCAGAAGGTGTGGCCCAGATTTAAGGGCTCTTCCCACTTCAGAAGATCCAGATTTCAGATGGGTCTTTGTAGGAGAGTGCAGGCATGTCCTGGTGGTCAGCCTACTGGCACATGGTGCTTCTAAGTAAGAAGCGTGCACGCCATGCTCCTGAGTACTCCCAGAAGTCAGAACACTGAATTATGAAGTGGTGTGAGTAGCCGGTAGCTGGCCAGCGGATGAGTCTGCACGCTCCATGTCTCCTTTATGTGCTTCTTCCCACAGAGACCCTGGTGACATGAACTCTCGCTGTCCAATCCGAGGCAATGTGCTCACCAATGTGCTCACGGTCTATAGGCTTCCCCTAAATAACTTGTTGTTCATGTGCAATAAAGCAGACACTGTTCCCTGAAACCGTCTCCGTGGGTCATCTCTGTGCTCTTTACTGACCCACGAGCATTGCAGGTCTTCCCACTTTAAATGATTCAATCAAAAAGCCTCTCAAAAGTGTACTCAGCTGTCTGGGTTTTAGTTAATTCCACATGTAATCAAGTGACAAGAATAGCCATCGCCCCTGTGTCCACCCCTCACAGCTGTGAAATAAACATCCCGCTTGCTGAGCTGGATTTGCCTCTGCCAAAGAATGTAGCGACAGAGAAAACCAACGGGGTCTGCTTGTTTCCTTTAGCCGTTCGGTCTGGCCCGAGAATGAGGACACCACACTGGCAGACCTCACTTCTGGGTGTAGGACTGACCCATGTGCCCCTGGCCCCACGTGCACTGACAGACAGGAAAGCCAGCAGGGGCCTGAGGTGGCAAGGCAGGGGCAGCCTCAAGCCTGCAGCCCAGCCACGCCGGAGCCTGCACTAGGAGGATTTGGAGGAGAAGGCCTGCCAAGCCACAGAAAGAGCCAGCTTTGAGGCCCAGGAAAACAAGGTGCTCTGAAGCGTAAATCGAATTAATCTTACCAATAGAAACCAGGGGTCAGATATCGGAGTGATAACCTGAAAGATCAAGAAACAGAGGAGCAGCCACTAGTGACCTCTCGCCTCTCTGGATCCTCCAACCAAAAGGACCGAGGTCCTGTCTCCACCCCGCCTTATTACTTCCTGTCTCCACTTCCCAAGTGCTGGGATTAAAGGTGTGGGCCACCACCGCCCAGCTTCTATGGTTAACTAGTGGCTAGCTCTGCTCTCTGATCTCCAGGCAAGCTTTATTTGTCAGAACACAAACAAAATGTCACACAACAGTAGTCTAACAGAACAAGGAGTCAAGATCTTAAATTATCTACAGGGGCAGTTGGGCAAAAATTTGCTTTAAGGGCCCACTTTAACACAGCAGTGGACTGTTGCAATCAGATGGTGGGGGACATGATTGTTCAGGAACAAAATTCAGTCATTAAATCTTCAACAGCCCTGGAGAAGAGCTCCTGGGCTTCTCGGGCCTTTGCTCATTTGGGGTGAGGGCATGATGTCAGAAAGGCGCCCCTGTCAGGGAGCTCTTTCCTCCCACGGCCTCCTTCCGGTTCCAGGTTCTGGGCGGGTATTGGGGGACTCCTGCTCAAGGGGTCGGAGTGGAGAGCAGGTTGCTGGACCCCAGCCAGGACTCCTAGGCCGGCAGGGCAGCAGAGGAGGCGCAGTAGCTTCTGCGTAGACTGCAAACGGAGTCTGCAAAGGGAGCCTGAGGCCTGGCTGGCTGTGCTGTCTTTCGCCTTCTCTCCCTTCCTTCCCTCCTTCTTTCCACCTGAGGAGGTGTCACTGCTGCAGACTACTGGTCTCAAATCTCTCCATCATGGTGTCCGTCCCTCCCCCCATTCCCCACCCCCCCTTCTCTTTTTCCTATTTGAACCCACGCTTTAACCCGCCTAGGGCTTTTTTTTTTTTTTTTGGTTTTTCGAGACAGGGTTTCTCTGCGTAGCTTTGCGCCTTTCCTGGAGCTCACTTGGTAGCCCAGGCTGGCCTCGAACTCACGGAGATCCGCCTGGCTCTGCCTCCCGAGTGCTGGGATTAAAGGCGTGCGCCACCACCGCCCGGCCCGCCTAGGGCTTTTAAGAGTGGAAGTGTGATGTCCTCAGGGCTCATTCTCAGGTCCACCCCTTAGTGTGGTGAGATCCTGCCACCTTGAGAGGACCCTGGATGCAACTGAGTGACGGTCCCTGAAGAGGAGGGGAGCCCTGCCAGTCACACCCACCCCTCTCTCAAACCCCTACAGAAGCATCCTGCCAGCCTCTCCAGCAATTCGTGTGACCACCTGGGGGTAAACTGGGACCAAGCCTGACTTGACCACGGCCACCAAGTTGGGAGCTGTAGACAGGGAGTGGAGGAGGCCTGAGGCCAAGCCTCTCGGGGAAGCCGCTAGACCTGGGAAGAGATGCTAACTCAAACCGGAGCGCTTGCCTGCTTCCTCTTCACAGGGTCCAGAGAACAGAGCTGAAAGGAGCCTTGAACACACAACCCAGCGGCTCACCGGGTGTTCTTTCCTCAGAGGCCTCCTTCTGCAGCTGTAGAAGGTCTGAGGGCCCAAGCTCAGACCTTCCATGCTGGAGAAACTCGGGGCACAGCTGGAGAGGAGCCAGCCTGCTCCCGGGAGGAGGAGCATCTCCCATGCTCTAGACTCAATTCCTCTCCTGTTTGCCTTGGGAGGAAGCCAGTCAGATGCACAGGACCGGGCTGCCCTGAACTCTGAGACAGCAGGGCTAGTTTGTCCCCTCACTGGGGGGTGGGGTGAGGGGTAGGTCCCAGGAGGGGTGAAGGGTTGAGCAGCAGGACGGGGTGGAGGGTGGGGTGGCTTAGAAAAGGACCTGGCCCTGAGGAGTTTAACCCACTGGGCCTCTTGTCAGATCTTCCCAAGGACCATTCTGGGGGGCTCATCAGGCTTAGGGAGATCAAGAGAGGAGCAGAAGGGTTAGCAGAAAAATTGGAGGGCTGGAGAGATGGCTCCATGGTCCAGAGCACTGGCTGCTCTTCCAGAGGACCTGGGTTTGATTCCCAGCACCCACATGGAGGCTCACCACTGTCTGTAACTCCAGTTCCAGGGGTCTGACGCCCTCCACTGACCTGAGCAGGCAGCAGACATGCATGTGGTGCGCACATGCAAGCAAGTGAAACACCCACCCACAGTTAAGAGGGGTGGGGTGGGGTGGCTGGCGGTGGTGGCGCACGCCTTTAAACCCAGCACACAGGAGGCAGAGGCAGGCGGATCTCTGTGAGGTCAAGGCCAGCCTGGGCTACAGAGTGAGATCCAGGCCAGGCAAGGTTACGTAATCAGATCCTGTCTCAAACACCAAACACCAAAAAGGCAGAAAGTTTAGTCATAACTCAGCTTTGGTGGGCAGCGTCGGCTTTCTCGTCTCTTCAGTGTCTGGGCCCCTGTTCTAAAAGGACGCTAAGCTCTTGAAACTACCAGGTGTAGTTTGACCAGCAGAGAAAAAGATGGCTAAGAAGCAATCCGAAGGGACTAGAAAGATGGCTCAGCTGGGAGCCTGAGCTGCTCATTCAGAGAACTTGAGTTCAGTTCCCAACACCCACATCCGGGAGCTCACAACTGCTTGTAACTCTAGCCCCAGAGGACCTGACTTCTGGCCGCCTCAGGAGCTCACCTGCACTTACCTATACACAGACACATGCATGACTAAATAATAAAACATCTTTTATTTTTATTCTGAGACAGGGTTCTGGAACTTACTGTGTAGAGCAGATTGGCTTCGAGCTCCAGGAGAACCGACTGCTTCTGCCTTGAGTGCTGAAATTAAAGACATACACTACCACTCCCAGCTAAAAATAATAAAACCTTGAAAAAGAAAAAAGGAGGAGGAGAAGCAATTTGAAACTTCAAAGGCTTCCAAATAAATGTCTTGGGGCAGGTCCTCTGCACTGAGAGAAGCCAAAATCTTAGTCTTAATCTGAATTGTTGATGGGGCACCTGTTTACATGGTATACACGGGTGAAAACCACACCAGGTGTACACCTCAGCTTTGTGTGTCTGTATGTGAACTGTAATTCTGTCTATGGGAGTGGACTTCAGCAGGAGGAAAGGCCGGGGAGACTGTAGAGGAAGTAAATTCCCACCCAAGAGATTAAAGATCTTCCTCTTCGGAAATTTCTTGTTATCTTATTATTTCATATGTGTGAGTGTTTGTCTGCATGTGTGTCCTGTCCGTGCATCATATGTGTGCCTGGTGCCTACAGTGGCCAGAAGAGGGTGTCAGATCCCCTGGGACTGGAGTTACGGTTCTGAGCTGCCATGTGGGTGCTGGGAATAGAACCCAGGTCCTCTGGAAGAGCAGCCAGTGATCTTAACCTCTCTAGCCCTCTCTCTGGCCCTATTTTTTTTTTTTTTTTTTGGTTTTTTTGGTTTTTTCGAGACAGGGTTTCTCTGTGTAGCTTTGCGCCTTTCCTGGAGCTCACTTGGTAGCCCAGGCTGGCCTCGAACTCACAATGATCCACCTGGCTCTGCCTCCCGAGTGCTGGGATTAAAGGCGTGCGCCACCACCGCCCGGCATCTGGTCCTATTTTTATTTGTTTTTGAGAAAGATTTTACTCTGTAGCCCAAGCTGGTCTCAAACTCATGGCAATTCTCCTGCCTCAGCATTTCAAGTGCTTGCATTAGAGATGTGAACCAAGACACTCTACCTCTTCAGAATTTCACATCTTTATTGCATTACTGTGTGTGAGGGGCTGCAGGTTGAATCTGGGTGTGGGGGTCAGAGGACAACCTTTGGGAGGTCAGTTTTCTCTTTCTGCTGTGGGTTCCGCTGATTGAATTCAGGTTGCCAGGTTTGTGTGGCTAGTGCTTTTCCCTGCCGAGCGTCTCACCAGCCCTCCTGAAGGAAGGAGAAAGGGCCGATCAGATGACCTCTGTTTTAGGGAGCTTCCTGAGGAGCTGAAGCGCTGCCCCACTGGTTAGGAGAACCTGTTGCTCTTGCAAAGGTTTCATTCTCAGCACCCAAGTGTGGCGGCCGCACACAGTCCGTAACTTCATTCCCGTGTATCTGATGCCCTCTTCTGGCCTTTTAGAGTACTGCAGGCTCCGCGGGAGCACAGCCGTGCACCACCACACCTCCAAAAGCGACACTCACACATCTAAAATAATACAATGAAATGAAAACACTAGAGAGAGAGCTTCCACAGTTCCTCCTTGCTAGGAGTTGCATGTCCGTTCCCAGGGACAGAGAATTTTCATGTGATTTCTACCTCTCCAACAGTAATCCTAGCTGTTCCTCCCGTCCCGTCCCGTTCCCCCGCCCCCACCCGCCCCCATCCCCGCGCCCGCCTGAATGAGGTGGTTCCCCAGCATCACACATACTCTATAATTCCCGAGTCTGGAGTACTGAGGGTGCCCATTTCAGCCTTCCCCTGTACTCTTCCCCTTGGATGTCAGTTTCTGCTCGGAGCCGATTTCACCCACCCAGGCCCTTTTCCGGTGCGTTGTGCCAGCCGGTCCTGCATCCCACATCCCCAGCTGTTGACATTTCCACGCGATTGCCCGAGGGATGAATAAAAGGGCCCTGTTGTCCAACAATGGGGGAAAGACAGAGACAATGGGAAATTGTGTTTCCAGTGGGTGGGGACAGAAAAGAAAAGGACAGACAGACAGAAAGGGTCAGGGTCCTGAAGCATCCGGACATCCTGGAAGTCTGATTCCTACCTTGAGAGCCTCTTCCAAAAGGCCATATGTAGCCTGACACCGAGGGTACAGGTGAGGGCTTTGGTGGGGGGAGGGGCAATTTTGTTTTTTGGATGAGGTCCATATGGAAATACAGGGCTGGATTCACACTTAGGGCGCGTTCCCATCCCGCCCGGCCCAAACCCTCATACTAGCAGTTGGTCTGTCCCACCCCTGGTCTAAGAACAGGAGAAGTAGCAGGGCCTGCCCTCTGCTCTCTTCTAGGTGATCCGGGTCACTTGCTTTACTCTGTCCTCTGTCATCCCAACCCTGTGTCTTGCCCTGGCCCCAGGACATCAAGTGCCACCGATCCAATCATGGCTGGCTTAGCGTGAGCTGGAGAACAGGTCTCAACACCTGGCTTCTTTGAGCACAGGAAACAGGCCTTCCTGGAAAAGTGTCAAAGGAGCCAGAACATTGACCAGGCACCCAAGCTCTGAGGCCTTAGGGTGCTTTGGACCCCCAGGATCCTCAACAGCACCTCCACTGGAACTTCTTCCTTCACCAGGACAGGAAGCTTCTAAGCACCGGTCTCTTTGTCTCTGAGGAGAGGTCATCTTTTCAGGTAGGCACCAGGCTGCAGGCTACTGTGTTGGTTTCTTTCTGCAAGGGGTATGGAAATGGTATGTGTGTGCTTCTCTTAACCACAGAACTCTAGATCAGTGGCTAAGAGCTCAAGCTGGTCAGGTCTGGAATCAAACCCAGGCAAATTCTTTCACAGCTCTGTGGCAGCACCTGTGGCCTTTATCATTGCCTCCCTGGATCTCCAAAGGCATGAACACACAAGTATAGAGTGAAGTGCCTTGATCAGATTGCACTTTAAATATGCCGATGGTAGCTATCCTGGACCACTCTTGGTCCATTATTTTAAAAACATTTTATTGCATTTTATTTATTTTTAAGATTTATTATGTATACAGTGTTCTGTCTGCATATACACCTGCAGGCCAGAAGAGGGCACCGGATCTCATTACAGATGGTTGTGAGCCACCATGTGGTTGCTGGGAATTGAACTCAGGACCTCTGGAAGAACAGCCAGTGCTCCCAAGCTCTGAGCCATCTTAGTGTAACTACCTGTTTCTCCAGCTACAAACTGGTCTTCGGAGCCCAGTGCTTCAGACACTCTTTGAGGCCTTTCTTTACCCTAACCTGGTGTTCCCATCCCTGCTTCCCATAACTGTTTAGTGTTAGTTCATCGCAGTGCACATCCAGCTTGGCCCTACTCTGTACTATACAGCGCTTGTTCCACGTCAGACGCCGTTCTAAGTGGTTTACACATCCATGACTAATTCACCTAATTCTTGCAACTGCTAAGTGTAGTGTGTTGGTTATGCTTAATGTTGCCACGACCAAAATATGCAACAGAAGCAGCTTTAGGAAAGACTAATTTTGGCTCACAGGTTTTTTTCCTTCTATTCTGTCTGGTGCTCCTGCCCGCCGGGTACTGTTGCCCACACTCAGAGTCGGCCTCCTCCTCGGTTAATCCTCTCTGGCTAGATCCTCACAGTCATGCCCAGAGGTTTGCTCCAGAGTCTACTAGGTAATTCTAAAGCCACTCAGGTTGACAATGGGACTAGCCAGGTAGGATGCTCCAATTAGCACCTTCCTAATCAAGACACTTGGTTAAGGTTATGCAATTAACACATGGAAGAGCACAATTTGAAAAGAGAATAAAAACAAGTCAAGGGTCATCGGTCCACCATTTGTTTAAAAAAAAAAAGTTCCAAGTGATAAGAATAGAAACTACAACAACAACAACAACAACAAAAAAAAAAAAAAAAAAAAAAAAAAGGAGGAGAATCCACGGCCCAGACGGACAGCTGCACTTGAATCTGTTTTCATAACTTTACAATGTTATGCACTGTAACTTCTAGAAAATCCTGGGGACACAGCCTGCCAGTGCATGTACAGTGCTTTCAAGTCCAGTTAGTTTAGCCAGCAATGAGGGCATGAGGAAAAAGTTCCTTGTCCAGTCCAGCAGACTTCATATCCACAGTGAGACAGATTGGAGGATGAGGGAAGGTTGTCCAGACCTAAGGCCCAATTCTGATGTCTCTTAAGTTCATTGTGTCTGGACTCCAGTGCAGAGCCAGGCTGGGATAGGGGAGACATTGACTCCCTGCAAGGGGAGCCTGGAGCCTGGAGCCTTGGAAACTGTGACGAAGGTTCAACTTCATCGGCAGCGTGAGTGAGAGCCACGCTTTCAAGCAGGAGAAATCCTATTTACTTTGGCTTTGGGATAGAAAGTGATGCGGTCAATACAGACAATGAGGGGACCCGGGAGCAGTGCTGAGGTGGGACTTGCTGGCTGAGATAACCTGTCACTAGCCTCTCGCCTCCCAGCTGCAAAAATGCCTCCATATTACCCAGCAGGAAGCTGATCCTCATTCCCCCCCGCCCCGCCCCCATTTTTTCCTTCAGTACTAAGGAGTGTCCACCATTTGTGACCACCAACGGCGCTTGCTGACACCATCATGCCGCGTCGGACCCCTCTCTCTGCACTCTGCTGCTTCCTTCTCCCCTGGGCGTTCACCATCCTTCACCAAGCCCTGGGGAACTCGGGTAAGACCCTAGCCCAGCCCCCAACCTGGACACTGGGGGAGGGGGTCAAGGGATGGAGGGCTAGGAAGAGCAGCTGCTGAAAGGACCTAGGGAGGGAGAATCCGTGCGGAGAGGCGAGGGTGGTGCCAGTGAGCCCGAGGAAAGCTTCCGGGGACCAGGTCTGAGCGGGCACTTGGGGCAGGGAGGATAAGAGGCCTGCCACTGTGGCCCCTCTGCTCAGCCCCCCATCCGGGTCCCCACTACCTCCTGCCCCCCATCCACGAGGTCATTCACTCTCGTCGTGGGGCCACGGCCACACTGCCCTGCGTCCTGGGCACCTCGCCTCCCAGCTACAAGGTGCGCTGGAGCAAAGTGGAGCCCGGGGAGCTCCGGGAAACGCTAATCCTCATCACCAACGGACTGCACGCCCGGGGCTATGGGCCCCTGGGAGGGCGCGCCAGCATGCGGAGGGGGCATCGGCTGGACGCCACCCTGGTCATCAAGAACGTGCGCCTGGAGGACGAGGGCCGGTACCGCTGCGAGCTCATCAATGGCATCGAGGACGAGAGCGTGGCGCTGACCCTGCGCCTGGAGGGTGAGCTATGTGGTTCCCGCACCGCTGTTCACTAGCTGTGCCCGGCCACCTCGCCTCTACTGGGGTCTCCCCTGCTGGCGCTCCCCCCGGCACCCAGCTGTCCTGCCCAAGCTCTCCCCGCTCCCAGGTGTGGTGTTTCCGTACCAACCCAGCCGCGGCCGCTACCAGTTCAATTACTTCGAGGCGAAGCAGGCGTGCGAGGAGCAGGACGGACGCCTAGCCACTTACGGCCAACTGTACCAGGGTGAGCGCCGGATCCCCTGACTGGTGACCCCGGGGTGCACACCGGTCCCCGCAAGCTGGCAGCGGCGGAGGAGGGGGGAGCTCGAGTCTGGCTTGCGCCGGTGACCCCCGTCCTCTCCGGCCCCTCCTCCGCCAGCGTGGACCGAGGGGCTGGACTGGTGCAACGCCGGCTGGCTGCTCGAGGGCTCGGTGCGCTACCCGGTGCTCAACGCGCGCGCCCCGTGTGGCGGTCAAGGGCGGCCAGGCATCCGCAGCTACGGGCCCCGCGACCGCAGCCGCGACCGCTACGACGCCTTCTGCTTCACCTCGGCGCTGGCAGGTGAGCCAACCGCGGGCAGGCGGTGCCCGGCCTGGGCACCCCGCCTGGAGGAAGGGCAGGGTTGGGCCAGGGCCAGGAGGAAGGACTTGACCCGGCCGAGTGCAAGGACCTGGCAGGAGCAGGACCTGTAGACCCGGCCTGCGCCCGTCTGCGCCCAGGATCGTGGGCGGGGCCTGAAGGGCGGGGGCGGGTCTGGGGCGGGGCCTAGTGCTACAGGACCAGGGGAGAGGCAGGATGTGGGCGGGGTCTGATGTCAGGGACAGCTGTCCTCCGGACTCCCGCCAGCACAGTCCGGCCATTTCCGGGGCTTCGCGGTCGCGTCCCCTTCCCAGACCGGCTGCTTGGGGCGATCGGTCACCCGCTCACCTTCCCAGGCCAGGTGTTCTTCGTGCCCGGGCGGCTGACGCTGTCTGAAGCCCATGCGGCTTGCCGGCGGCGCGGAGCTGTAGTAGCCAAGGTCGGGCACCTCTACGCCGCCTGGAAGTTCTCAGGGCTGGATCGGTGCGACGGAGGCTGGCTGGCGGACGGCAGCGTTCGCTTCCCCATCACCACGCCGCGGCCGCGCTGCGGGGGTCTCCCTGACCCCGGGGTGCGCAGCTTCGGCTTCCCCCGGCCCCAGCAGGCGGCCTACGGGACCTACTGCTACACCGAGAAGTAGGAGCGCACTGTCCTGCCACGCACGTGACGGAGTGGCGGGTCCCCTCTCGGCAGACGAGGACTGAGCCCCACACCTGCCTGCCCAGCCCAGCTCAGCTCACCGGGCTCCCGGGCAGAGGGGCGTCCCGGGCATTAACTGACCAATAAAATAACATGGCACCTTCTCTGTTCGATAAGCTGTAGGGTTTGGAGTCTTGGAAGTACGAGTGTGAAAGGATCTGGCCCTGGACCCAAAGCACGTCTACAGTCTAGAGGAAAGGCTCTATTGCTTCCGTGGCCCAGCAAAATAAAGGGTTTGTGATGAGAGGGCGTCACGAGCCAGGACAGAGGAGAGGAAAGCTCGCAGGCCTGGCCATCCTCGTGGGAGAACTCAGGCTGCTATTATGTCTAGTCAGCCACCCAAGGGATTCTCACTCAAATTTGCAAACTTACAGAACTGTTTAGGCCCTAAAGAACAAATATTCAATAATTCTAAACGCATTTTTAAATTACTTAGAAGCGTTTCCAAGATCTGCTTTAATTAATTAATTTTGAGACAAGGTCTCTCAATTTAGCCCTGGCTGTCCTGGAAGTCACTATGTAGACTAGGCTATCCTTGAATTCACACCGATCAGTCTACCTCTGTCTCTTGAGTGCTGGGATCAGACCCAGCTAAAGTCTACAATTAAAGGTAGTAAAGTCTGGGTGGATAGCTCAGCAGTTAAGACAACTTGCTGCTCTTTCAGAGGACCAGAACCCAGAACCATCTGTAACTCCAGTTCCAGGGAATCCAACACCCTCTTCTGACCTCCTTAGGTACCAGACAGGCACATGCTGCACATATATACTATAATAAATCCATTCAAGAGAGATACAGACAACCATGCAGATTAAGACAATTAAAGCAAATGCGTCCTTTGTTCCTGGCCTGTGATCAAGAGCGGGTTCGTGCCTCAGTCCATGTCTCTTGGAGTGGGAGCTCAGGGGTCCAGCATTTTTAAAGATACAAACCGCATTAATGGTAGATGAGAGTTAGGGTAACTCTACAACATCTGGTTTTGGCAGACCATAGTAGTTATTTCATGCATAACATGGCAACCATTTTTGACTTATACCTTCTTCATTTATTGTAGACATTAATTATTTTGGTTAATGCATCTGGACCATGGTCAGAGGCATGGAAATCTCAAGTGTGTAGTCAGGTTAGATGTGACCGTTGGAGGTGGTGGGATAGGGGACTAAGCGTCCAAGCGGACACAAAATGGAGCCAGGTCAAGATGGCCTCACCTCGGTCACTTCACTCATTTATTTAAGTTACATTTACATCGTTGGTTTTTTTTTTTTTAAATGAAGGAGCGGGTGCTGGGTAACAACCAGTGAACTAGGTAGAGTCTGATTATTAGATCTAGGAGAACAAGGGCAAGCAGACCCGTGGGGCCATGAGTAAGGTGGTTGGTCATAGATTCCAATGAAACCAGCTATGGAACCAGGGATTATTGGTCTCCTTTATTTATTATTTGTAAGGATCAATTGTTATTTGGGTGTATAGTCAGGCATGAGTAATTAAAGAAATCAGATAAAAAATCTAAACCTATTATTTTTAGATACAGCCGAGGTAATAAAATTTTGTCAGAGTCTGGTCCTGGGGAGCTGTCAGTGCCCTATAGGAAGCACTGTGGCTAATTTTATGACAAGTTCAGAGGGAGAAAGGGGCATCATAATCCCTGAAGGAATAAACCGTGAACAACCTCTTCTGGGCCCTGACCAAGGAGCTTTCAGCTGCCCTAAGATTTGCTGAAATCCCGTCCCTGTGTTGACACTCCAGCCCCTCCCCCTCCACTGCCATTGGCTAACTCAGTCACCCACTATCACCCGCATCCTGACGTCACGGCAAGACGGTTTCTAAAGGTAAAACAGCCTGGTCTGGACAAACTGTTCCAGGAAATAGAGACAGCAGAATGGCAGACATCTCCCTGCAGCTGCATTTAACTTCTGCGTTCCCCAGGCCCCCTACATAAGCTCCAAGTGCTCCCTTTCCCTCAGGAGAATGTCCGTCCTTTGCTGTTTGAAATAAATGGTCTTCTGCCGGTCAGCCTGCTCACTTTCCACCTCTGTCTCTTTATCCTGCCTCAGAAATCTAACAACACCTGTCTCCAAATGTCCACTCTTGAATTCCGTAAGCTTTACCATGGGAAGGCCCCCTGGCTTCCGGCTTTCCACAGGAGCAGGCTGGAGAGCTAGCTGGTCCCAGCTGTCGTCTCTGGAAAGAGACTCTGCGAGGCTGGTCTGGGTGAACTTTCACAGTCCAGGATTTCCCTCCTCCGGCTGTGCTGTTTTCTTTGCCCAGTCACGGTGGGTCCAGATGACACCTATAACTTAATGCTTGGATGAGTGTCCACAGTGGACCTGCTGTGCCGGCTGGCCGTGGCAGAGCCTCTGTCTTAGTCTTACGTTATTTGAAACTCTCTGGGGACTTCTAACAGAATCAAGGAATTTCCTGTCAGCTCAGAGGATAATTGAAAGCCAGGGTAGGGTAGAAGGCATGACCAATCGAAGTAGCATGCAGGTTCCCTTCCCAGTCAGGTGGCAGGCTTAGGTACAAGCTTCCCCTGTCCACAGTAGCTCATATGTCAGTTTGGGAGACACTGAGAGCAGAGTAATTGCTGTTTGTCTCTGTTGCTGGAGACCCTTAGGATGTGGATGCAGACTCTGAGAACCTCTGCTGGGTGAGTGAATCCATCCCCCTGTCATGTGAGGCATCAAGAGTAGTTCATCTGCTACAGATTCCTCCCTACAGATAAGGAGGAAGGTTTCCAGGTCTGGCCTGCCCAGCCAGAGACGAGAGCAGCAGACTTCCAGTGAGTGTAATTTCCCTACATACTTCTTCTCTACTGGGGCTAGCATGCAATTTACTCTGCTGGGGTCTGTGTCCTGTCCAAGGAAAGGGGTATTACTTGAGTCTAGGGATGTCCTGCTGTGCAAGCATATTGTAATTTAACCCATTTTAATCAAGCATTCATTTTTCATAACCAATTTTTAAAACATACATGATTTTGAGTATTAGTTTATATTAAAGAAACTTTACATTTACTTGAAACTTGTTTTGAGTTACATGTTTTAGGCTTAACTGACAACATATCCAGAAGACTAGACAATGGGAGATATAAATTGGTCTCTCCTTCCACACTTGTCTCTGTAAGTGAATTACCTTTGTACTTAGCTGGACTACAAACACAAATCGGGGCACACTAAAGATATTTGGTCATTTATAAGATCGCTATCTTTTGGGAGGGTTTCTCTGTGTAGCCCTGGCTGTCCTGGAACTCTCTCGGTAGACCCGGCTGGTCTCAAACTCATATCTGCTTGCCTCTGCCTCCTGAGTGCTGGGATTAAAGGCTTGTGCCACCATGCATGTCTTTTATGTCTTAAGTACCTTTAATAATTTACAATAAGTTAGTTATTCTCATAGGATAAGGATTTTATAATTTTATCCTCAAGATTTTTGAGCCTTAAACATCACAATTTTGAATTAAAGCTCACTCAGCACCAAAATACACTTTAAAACTCTGTGGAGAAACTGGGAACTTCATTTTCATGATCCTTGTATAGTGTGCTTTTATAAGACATCACAGTTCTTTTATATGACTTAATTTCTTCAAAAAAAAAAAAAAAACCTAAAGCTTAACAAAGCTAGCAAAGACATGGTGATTAGACATCCAGGCTGGCCTCAAACTCACAGAGATCTGTTGTGGAATAATCTTCTTGTACACTGTGAAGATGTATTGCTCTCCTTGGTTTAATAAAAAGCTAGATGGCCAATAGCTAGGCAGGAAGAGGTGAGGCAGGACTTGTGGATAGGGAGAGATCTCTAGAAGGAAGAAGGATGGAGTCGCCATATGAAGGGAGAAGCAAGATGAACATGCCATGCTGAGAAAAGGTACTGAGCCATGTGGTAGGACATAGATAAGAAATATGTGTTAATTTAAGTTGTAAGAGCTAGTTAGTAACAAGTCTAAGCTTTGGCCGATCATTTATAGTTAATAATAATAAGTCTCTGGGTGGTTATTTGGGAGCTGGCAGGCAGGACAGAAAATTCCACCTACAGAAATCTGCCTACCTCTGCCTCCTGAGTGCTGGGACTAAAGTTATGTGCCACCACTGCTCTGGTGAGTTTATGAATCTATTTTTTTTAAGATTTATTTATTATGTATACAGTGTTCTGTCTTCATGTACCCCTGCCCTCCAGAAGAAGGTACCAGATCTCATTTCAGATGGTTGAGAGCCACCATGTGGTTGCTGGGAACTGAACTTAGGACCTCTGGAAGAACAGCCAGTGCTCACGGTCAGGCTAGCCTGTTCTACATTGCAAAGTTCAGGGCCAGCTCCAGCTATATAGGAAGACCTTGCCAAAAAACAAACAATGCAAAACCTCAGATTTGACAGGTAATTAATCCTGTGGAAAGAGGAAAACACCACTGAGGAGTGACTGAACCAGAACATTCTAAATGTATAGCTATCCAGGCATGGTAGTTCACGCCTTTAATCCCAGCACTCAGGAGGCAGAGGCAGGAGGATCTCTATCAGTTCAAGACTAGCCTGGTCTCCAGCCTGGGCTACATAGAGACCATATCTCAAAACAAAAGAGGAATACAGCTAAAGGAAATATACTAGTGTCCCAAAAGACAAGACTGCAGTGGTATTACTTATTCATAGATATTTGCAGATTTTATACACACAGTGAGTTGCTGAACAGGGCCAATATGCTGTGAGAAATGTCTCAGGTGATTTTCTTTCTGCATGAACATGGCAGGATTTATTTCCACAGCCCAGCTGATACAGTCTCTCACACAGAGCTACATGGGGTGGACTGGTGCTCCTAGGCTGTGAGTCGGACACCACTATACTCAATTCTACAGGCTCTGGGGACACGATGACATTTGTCTCTAAATGCTACAGTGCAAACCTGGCCCATCTGTTCAGGACTCTCACTCTGAATGGAACATCCAGGGATGGGAACTGTCCTTAGTAAGCCAGGGGGTGAGCAAGGAAGGGGTTGGAAGGCCCAGGACTCACTCTAGGACTCCACCCAGGCTACACTAAGTTGATAAAGTCAGTGCCTTCGGCAGCTGAGATGGCCCTTCAGGTAAAGGCCCTTGCTGAGGACCCGAGTGTGATCTCTGGGACCTACATAAAAGGA